TCAATTTTTTTGTTCCCCCCCCCCCCCCACCTTAATTCCTTGCATTTACAGAATTTTTCTTTGGCTTGTGAAAAGCTTTACTTTAAAATTATGAAGGGACAAAGTAAATATCTTTCTAGTCTTCTGGGAAATGTGTGCTTCTTTAAAGTTTGTTTAATCAGAACTTACTGTAATGAAGGACAAAAGCTCTAGACAAGATCCCCTGTGTCTAGGGAGTGTTCTTCAAGGCTAGGTCTCCTGGAGGCAAGCCTGCAGGGTTTTTTTCTCTCAAAGATTTATACCTCACTGCCTGGCCATTTCTTTGCAAGGGGCACAAAAGGGGGCTAGAAACAGAGCAGGGTGGGAACTGAGCCTTCGTCACTGCTCAGAGGCTCTGACCTGGAAAATTCTCTGTATGTGGCAAAAACAAACATTCAAAATGAAGGCAGAAACCAGGCTTAAACAAAGAATGAAACTAGTTCTCCTTTCAACTCTCCTGCCGATAAACACATGTGCCCACTCTTTTGTTTTGCCAGACATCAGGTTTCCATTATTTGGACAGAGCTTCCACCTGAATCTGTCCAGAGCATAAAAAAGAAATGTGAGATTTAACAAAATGGTACATATGTATATTAGATGCATTTTATCCATGTTCAAATTCAGTCAACCCAAAGAAGCAGTAGGATGACATTCTCCAAGCCTTTGTAGCTTATTGCGTTTTTCAGCCAACGGTAAGCTCTTCTTACTGCTTCCATCTGCTCGTGTGTTACAGGATTGACTTCAATATCCATGGAGAGACAGGCCCATGTCAAAAGCTGTCTGCTGCTTCTCTCATGACATTTTAAATTTTGTTCTTTGTTAGTTATGATCCCTTCTCCCTCCTTATTCTGCTGAACTCCTTACTTTGGTGTCTAAGTACTAAAGAGCAAGGATACCTCCTTGTACTTGCAGTTTGGAAGACAGCTATGCTCAACCCCACACCAGAAAAGTACTACTTCTACTTGCAGTTTTGATAGGTACTCTTTAACTGCATCTTTGAAGAGTATCATCCTTCGGAATCATTGGATTCTCATTGCTCATTTTAGAGTCATGGCTTAACTGGCTATCTGTGCTAACTACAGAAAATGATCTACTTATACCTCTCTTCTTCCAGGTCTCTATTTTGCTAATAGAATTAAGAAAAATATTTCCTCTTACATAGCAATCCTCCAAATTCTTTTCCTCTTCTTTGGTGCTCTTGTAATAACTTATTAATGGCCAGCGGCGACTGTCTTCGAATGCTGTATGTGTCAAGTAAAAGATAAGATTAAAGGATCAGTTAGTGCTTTTTCTTGCAGTGCAGAGGTTAAAAATATGAGCTTTGACACTAGCTTTCTTTAGTTGAAGTTCACATGTCCTCATAATAATCATGTGACCTCAGAAACTTTATTTAAGCTGTCACCCTTAATTTCCTGATTTGTAAAGATGCAGTAATATTAACAACTTATAAGGGTATCTGCTGTGTATAAGGCATTATTTCAAGCACTCTAAATCTAACAATTAGCTTAGTCTTAGTAATGCTATAGTGTAGGTAATATCCCCATTTTTCAGGTGAGATAGCAGAGATATGAAGAAGGAAAGTAATTTGACTGTAGTCACAGAATTAGGATGCGGCAGAACTTGGTTTGTGAAGCTGGGTGGTTGGATCTCAGACGCCATTCCTTATAGCACGCTACAGGTCCTCTCAAATTACGGGGCATAAAGCACCTAACACAGTGTTAGGTACATAGCACTTGTCTGCTGGTGCTATTCACTACTATCACCTCTTCTTGATTGTATTCACTTTCTCACTCTTGCTGGTACTAGACTGTGTGAAGGTGGCCATCCTTACACTCATAAGGAGAAACAGCAAGAATAATAGCAACCACAGCTGTGATCCATGCTAAGATAGCTGTACAGTTATTCTTTACCCTGTGTGCTGTATTTAAGCTACAACTGTGATGGAATCACAAGAAAGGGGACATTAAATGTTAATACCTCTTTTTGTCACATGAAATTTTTTTCCTTCCAACTTTCAAGCTTTCAGCAGCTAGCCCACCAAAATGGTTTAAAGCAAGGGAGAAAATTAAAAGTTGTAGACATCAGTTAAAGTTGCTACCATTCTTTAGTAAACAGGAGTAAAATATTTTAAATGTATTGAATGTTGTAAAAGAGGTTTGTGAACAAAGACAGCTACTGCAATACATTCTCTAGTCTCCGCACTCCTTGTTTTTGAATGCCAGTATCAGGAAAACTGAAAGAGAAAATTCTGCAAAAAAATGATATTCTTTTGTTAAAGTAAGCCACTGACTTCAAACTTTTCTAACACATTTGTGAAAACTTCATTTTTTTTTTTTTTGGTTTGAGATTTATTTGAATGAGCTGTTATGATTGGAGACATGAGAATTTCAGATTAATGTTTTGCAGCCAGAAAAAAATCCCTCTGGAAAGCTGGCAAGTATTCATAAGTCAGCCCTAGAATTATGTAGGTTGAAGGCTCCCCAGTGGACAGAGCGAACATATAAGAAGGAAACCAGAGATCTGGTGCTATTACGCCCCAGAGTCTAAGGGAACGAGTAAGCACAGAATTCAAAGCATTCTTCAGCTTGAAATTTTAAGGTAAGTCTTAACAATTTATACATATTTGAGCTGGAAAGCACCGCATACATTAAAGAAAATAGTTTTTGTAGATGAACTTCCTCTTTTTCCTGTGTTTTAAGACTGCATTTTGCAAACCTCCTAAATTCTTTAACTGCTATTTCTCTTACAGGAGTGCATTTAGGAGCTAAGCAAGGTGATTTAGGATAACTGCTTTAAACTCCAGAACCAGTAAGTGTTTAGTAGAATTTAGTTTTGATTCTTTTTTTGATGTTAATTCATAAAGTCATACAAAAGAACAGGCTCTTGACAAAAAAATGATGGTTTGATGTTCATTTGGATGTTTTCTGGTGATTACATTCTAAACTGAATAGTTTACTTGTATGTGCTTTGAAATTATCTGTAGTAATAGATTTTCCTTTGTGTGTTTATCTTTAATTTTCTTTTGTTTGGAAATAATGTTACTAGTTTAAAGAAAACAATATCCCTAACCGGGAAACCTGATTTTAACACTTGAAAGTCATGACGATTTATTTCTGCTAAACTGAAAAGCTAGCAAAGAAAAAATGATAGGACTATATCATGATTAATCAACAATGTTTGATTCTTTTTTCACTGAGCAATCAAAACCATTTCTGTTTGAACCTGAAACAGGTTTGGTTGTTTTGTTTCCTTTTGCTTTTCCTAACTAAACTGAAAATGGATTATTTTCTTACAAAATAGACTGCACTTACATATGCATATCTAAAACCAATATTCGCTGTTAAAATTGGAGTGAGGAGCTTTAGGAAATATGCACATATTCACAATTTCCCATTTTATTATTAATGTGAAAGCAATGGAAAAGTAGAACTAAAGAGATTATTTTAATTAGCAAAACCAACCATGACCCTCCATCCCAATATGTTCCTTCTGCATATTCTTTCAGTCATTTGTACACTTACCTATTTTTTCCGTGGCTTATGTTACTTATATTTTCCATAGCTATGATGATTTGTATATAAGTTACTTGAATAAAGCATTTCCCTAAGAAGCAGCAGGCAACAGTGTGATTTCTAGAAAGCACACAAATGGAGAAATATCCTCCAGTGTTTTTGAAATACCAAATTCTCTTTGTGCTCCTTATTTGTCTCATACAATTCCTACCCTGACTAACCTTCTAAGTCTTTAAAGTTTCCATAGACACAAGAGGAAAGAAAGGGAAAAGGTAGTTTTCTTCAGAATTTTTAGTCCCTGATATTAAAATATCTCACTTCTTGCTAACAAGGAAATGATTTTGTTCTTCTTGAAGAGGTAAAAGTCATTCTTATTAGACAGGCATGGTCCCATTTCATAATGTTTCCATATAATCATTTACTTATTTTAACCTTGTGCACATTTTCAAAATGCTTGTGGCTCAAATAGCCCCTAGTCTTTGTATGTGAGTTAAGAGCTCTATTTTTCTCCCCTAGAGGATAAGAATTGGGAGTTGCAGACATTTCAATATGAAGGACAACTTCAATCTTGCCACCATCAGTAAAAACATCACCAGCAGCCTTCAGTTCGACCATTTGAACATATCTGGCAACAACGAGTCCATATTTAACTGCTCGCACAAACCATCAGATAAGCATTTAAATGCAATTCCTGTTCTCTACTACATTATTTTTGTGATTGGGTTTCTTGTTAATATTGTTGTGGTCTCACTGTTTTGTTGTCAAAAGGGTCCTAAAAAGGTTTCCAGCATTTACATTTTCAATCTTGCTGTGGCTGACTTACTCCTTTTGGCTACTCTCCCTCTCTGGGCAACCTATTATTCTTATAGATATGATTGGCTCTTTGGACCTGTGATGTGCAAAGTTTTTGGTTCTTTTCTGACCTTGAACATGTTTGCAAGCATTTTTTTTATTACCTGCATGAGTGTTGATAGATACCAATCAGTTATCTATCCCTTTCTTTCTCAGAGAAGAAATCCCTGGCAAGCATCTTACATAGTTCCCCTTGTTTGGTGTATGGCCTGTCTGTCCTCATTGCCAACATTTTATTTCCGAGATGTCAGAACAATTGAATACTTAGGTGTGAATGCTTGTATTATGGCTTTCCCACCTGAGAAATATGCCCAATGGTCGGCTGGGATTGCCTTAATGAAAAATATTCTTGGTTTTATTATTCCTTTAATATTCATAGCAACATGCTACTTTGGAATCAGAAAACACTTGCTGAAGACCAATAGTTATGGGAAGAACAGAATAACCCGTGACCAAGTCCTGAAGATGGCAGCTGCTGTTGTCTTGGCATTCATCATTTGCTGGCTTCCTTTCCATGTTCTGACCTTCCTGGATGCTCTGGCCTGGATGGGTGTCATTAATAGCTGTGAAGTTATAGCAATTATTGACCTGGCACTTCCTTTTGCCATCCTCCTGGGATTCACCAACAGCTGCGTTAATCCCTTTCTGTATTGTTTTGTTGGAAACCGGTTCCAACAGAAGCTCCGCAGTGTGTTTAGGGTTCCAATTACTTGGCTCCAAGGCAAGAGAGAGAGCATGTCTTGCCGAAAAAGCAGTTCTCTTAGAGAAATGGACACCTTTGTGTCTTAAACCTGCTAATAGGATGCATGCAATCAACTGGCTATTGTTTTTGAGGCCCACCTGAATTGTCTTTAAATGGCTTCAGTAAAATATTTCTTTCCCTTATCTAATCTTTACTCACCCTGCCAACATAGGAAAGAAACCAAGTGTGCCTGTAAGTTTTTATCCTTCACTGACTTTCAGGACTTATGTATTGCTTTTTTTTTGGGGGGGGGGCGTATTTTGGCACAACATTATAATTGATGAATCTATAGCCAGATTATCATAGCTATAATCTAGAAGTAATTGGGGATCTATAGCAAATTAAGATTAACAACAAATTATGAGTGATGAATTGGAGTTTCAGATTCTCCATGAAAAATGCTGGCATTTCCTTGTGGAGGTCTGTATTCAATTTCAACAGATTTTCTTTCCTCATAAATAAGGGCCAGTTTTAACTTCTCACATCATTTACCAGACAATATAGCACAAGAGATGAGCATTAAGTGTAGCATGATATACTATTCTATATATTCAATAGATTGGTACTGGATTATTCAGGCTCTCATTACATATTTTCTACTTTTCAAGAAATTATAAGTTCTATGGCTTTTACATTTCATTTGAGCATAACTTTGTACTTGACATATAGATACATATTGAGTAGGTCTAGGAATGTGGATTCAATCACACGTCCATGTTTTAGCTTATTCTTATACTTATAGAAATTAAAATGTAGAGTAAAACAGAATTGAAATTAACAAAGATTTTGATATTCACTAAACTGAACTTTAAAAACTATTTTTTATCCATTTTGACTATTGTTTAAAGTTTTTCTGATGATTTTTTTGAATACAGTAACAAAACACTTTATTATTATACAATACAAAGGTCACCTTTTACATTTTTAAGCTTTTGAATGAGGTGCTTTGATATATACAGTGGTGACTTGATTTTAAATTATTCATGCTTTGGTTCTGGGCTACTTCTCAAAATATCTGTGAGGATTCTTCAATTCTTTAACGTATGAAACTGTAAATTGATATAAGAAAAGGTTATGCTAGAATGAAATTTTTTGTACCTCCTGGGGTGGGGCCAAAGATACCCAGTAAATGGCAAGTTTGTTGTCAAACAAGGAATTTATCAGAATATAGACACCTTAGAGAATAGTTTTAAACTGTATCTATGGACACTGTTCACAGAATTTAATGTAAGATTCTGTGAAGTGGATTTAAATCAAGCACAGGTCTATAGATCTTCTCAACATTATTAGACTCCTTAAGTCAAAGGAATATATTACCTGAAACTGGCAGAGTTACTTAATGTTTGCTCAGATTAGAGAATGAACATTTTAGTTCAAGATTTCATTCTGCACCAGCCCCATATTATATCAGGTTACCTAAGATCTTCCCGGACCAATAATGACCTGTGAGGTAGAATTAAAGTTCTGGAGACTTAATATTGCTGCCGGGTTCTGGGGTTTCAAGTTGAAGAATCCTCACATACCGCTTCCTGGGAAAACTCTAATTTCATGTAATCATCTTGTTTTCAGTAGAAACAAATAGCTAAATGTATAATTAGCTATGACTTCATGTTTTACTTTTTTACAAAAATATCTCATAAAAATAAAATCATTACTGGGAGATCCTGTGTGGTAATTATTTCTTTTATCTGTTTCCAAGGGTCAATGCTTACCTTCCCTTGTATTAGTTTCCTCCATCCAGTCCCTACTCACACTTCTTAGCTTCAGCCTCTTTTGTATCCCATCAAGGTAACTCCTCAATGGGCCTATGAAAAGCGTATGCCACAAATGAATTCTGATCCCTTCTGGGGTGCAAATGACAAATTTGGTGTCAAGCAAGTCACCTGCCAGGTATAGCAGTGCAATGTGGATTTTAGCATTTGACTATTTCCTTTCAACATTCAGCTCATGTCATTGTCTCTCCCGCAATCCTAACTATTATAGATCCTTTCTGTCCCCCTGGGGTCCATTAGGGAACAGAATTGCTCCTTTCTTTCTTGGGATTTTAAGACCAATGTCTGCTTCCACAAGAGGGTAGTGCTGAGCCCTGAGAAACAATTTCCTTACTTTTTCTCTGGAAGTAGGAAGAAATGTTAATTGAATGGATCATGCAAGAATATGTGAACTCTAACTGTAGGTATGTTTCTAGGTACAAATATGCTTTTTCTTTTTTGAAAACAAAAATTACAGGTAAGTTTTTGAGAGACTATGAACAATTTATTCTTCTCATTTGGCTACTTTCCAAGAAATACTTAATCTCCCTTCTCTCCCATGATTTCATTAAAAAACTCTTGTCTAACACAATGCCTGGGAAACACATAATACTAATAGCAGCAGCAACAACAGCAAGAGTAGCCACTACTAACATGTTATTTTGTGTGCATTGTCCCATTTTATTCTCACAACAACTCAATTATCATTTTATGAATAAGAAACTGAGGCGTAGGTCAGTCCTTTCTAATCTATACATCTGAATCTGACAGATTAACTGGGTAATCTCAGAAGAGTATTTAGTACCTTAAATATGAGTTTCAGGTTAGCAAACAAGTATTTCAGAGACACTCTTTTTTAATATTTTATTTATTATTTTATATGTATGAGTGTATTTAGCCTGAATGTATGTTAAGTGTACCTATGTTGTAAAATGTCCTCAGAGGTCAGAAGAGGGTGTCGGGTCCCTTGGAACTGGAGTTAGGATCAGTTGTTAACTGCCATGTGGGTGCTGGGAATCGAACCCAGGTCCTCTGCAAGAACAGCAAGTGCTCTTAACCTCTAAGTCATCTCTTCAACCCCAAAGACACTCTTATACATACAATCTCTCAGCCTTCATGCGGAACCTAACAAATACAAGAGTCTCTAGGCAGGTGGTCTACTTGCACTTAGGAAGGAAAAGTGAGGAAGTAAATAGATAAGTCTCTCTCTTGTTCTCCACTGCTCCCACTTCATGCTGTAGGATAACAGAATTACAAGAAGTAACCGCTACGTATATTCTGCTGCTGCCTGCACCCTACACACAAAGCAAGACAGGCTCCTCAAACACTTCTTTTGAGGAACAAGTATTCATTTTACTTCTTTGGTATGAGATTACCTAGGGTTATCAGAAATGTCCCTCTCTTGCAACTTTCCAAAAATACATGCATTTTATTATGTGAGGTGAAATATGAATTCTCTATCCTGT